GAATTCGGTATTTTAGCAGCAAGCCTTCCGAATTGGCGATTTAGAACGGATAAGGACGTTATTTGAACGATTAGCCAAACGGTGAAGGCTAGAAGATTCTGGAATTCTAATTTTTAAAAATTCGAATTATGACGTCATATTTCTGAGAAACGTCAGAGACGGCCATTTTAGCTAAAATAGCAGAAAGAAACAGAACAACTTTATCTGCGATTACGAACAGTACGAAATCGAGACTAAAAAACTACAACGAACTACCGAACAGCAGAGGACGTTCCGAGTTGCAACTATTGTGCTGTTACAATAGTTGCAAGGCCGTTGCGAGCAACGGTGAAGGGTAAAACCCAGCCTTCCGAGTTATTGTGAACTGGATATTAAGAAGCTTGATTCACCGGATTCAGGAATCCGGAAGGGTCTCGGGACGTGGACTTTTATGAACTTATATTGAATTTTAGTATCCGTCATGTCCTGACTTGAATTTAATTAAGATCTTAATTCGTTTTGACAAGAATGAGGAGCTAGAAGTAGGGGGGAAAGGGTTGATCCATCTTCGATGGAGATGATGATTTTTATCTACTGAACAAAAACAATAGTAACAGTGAAGCAATGCTTTGATATAGTTCGAAAAATCAATGTTGGAAAACCTCTCGGACCTTGTACTGTACCTGCTTGGGCAATCATTGACGGTCAATCAGTTATAGTTCCACATTTAACTTTTGTCATAAATACTTGCTTAGATGAGAACATTTTCCCGATCGAACTGAAAAAAGCAAACGTAACCCCTTTGTTCAAAAAAGATGACCCAATGGATGCAAAAAATTATCGGCCAATATCAATAACTTGTGCTTTTTCTAAAATTTTTGAAAAAATTTTACATGCCCAAATAACAGAACATCTTGACAAATTTCAAATAATGACACCATTTCAATTCGGATTTCGCAAAAACATTTCAACACAAGATGCTCTTGTTTATGTGACAGAAAGTATTCGAAATCAAATAGATTCAAAAAAAATCGTACATGCAGCTTTATTAGATCTGTCCAAGGCTTTTGATTCTATTTCGCATGAAGTTTTAATTGAAAAAATGCTTTCTCTCGGTTTTTCAAATGGAGCAAATGCTTTAATTGCTAGCTTCCTAAACAAACGTATTCAAAGAGTAAACGTCAATGGAATTTTTTCAGACTGGATTGAAATAAAACGAGGTGTCCCACAAGGAACGGTACTTGGTCCGTTGTTGTTCAATATTTATGTTAATGACATACAAGAGCGATTATATGAGGGTTGTACTTTAGTTCAATATGCTGACGACTGTATGGTTTTTTCCTCTTCTATAATTTCTGAGGATGCTTTGAATCGATTGCAAAAATCACTCAATAATCTAACGGAATTTTTTGCAGAGAACCAATTGAATCTGAATGCATCTAAATCGGAATTTATAACATTTTGTCAAAAAAATGATAGCAAAAATGTGGATACTGATAAACTAGTAATTAGTGGGCATTATGTAGCCAAAAAATCAGAATGCAAATATTTAGGCATAATTCTTGATTCAAGTTTATCTTTTCATGCTCAAATCAAAACAATTCTCCAAAAAATGGCCCAAGGGATTAAAACTATTGATACAATTGGACAACAACTGCCGACATTATCATTAGTTGCCTTGCTTCATTGTCTTGTTTTATCACATTTAGATTATTCAGCAATTTTTTTACAACAAATTAATGCTACTTTGATGCTATCTCTGGAGAAACAGTTGAACTGGGCGCTAAAAAGAACATATTTCAGATCGAATTTTAAATCTTCTTCCCTTCTTCGCATTAGCAAATCGTTCATTGGAATCGAGAAAAGAATTGAGTTAAAGTGTATAACATACTTATACCAATATCTTACAAACAAAAAGAAGGCTTTTGAAAATACACTGAGACTACCGACTGCCAATTATAGGCTCAACGAAAGAACGAAACAAATTATTTTTGACAAACATTGTTCGACTGCTTCTCTACAGAAATCATTTTTTCATTTGACTTCTAAAAAATGGAATTCACTGCCCATAATTTTGCGCAATTTAGAAAAATCGAAAACAGAATTCAAGAAAAAATTGAAAGAATTTTACGTGAGTGAATTGAGAAACAATCCTATATGTACTAATACAAATACGTGGCGTGATTACCGTTTTTGCTAGTTCTATATTTTTTAATTCAGTTTAATTTTTCACACATTGCTTGAAAGAGAAACTGTATATACTCTGCATATACGTTGTATAATTGGACTATCTGTAAAATTGTTTGTAAAGTTTTATTACCAGCTTGTTCCTAATTCTTAAATCTTTAATTTTCTATAGTATCCGAAACTTCATATACTTTAATCAACCAATTTCCGAACTGTAACCGATTTTGTTTTTTTTTGTTTTGTTTATTGCTTGTTTTCTGATGTTTTGTTTTTGTTTGATGTAACCAATGAATTTATAACCAATTTTATTATTTACACTTTGCTACACTGATGCCTCGGCTTTTTATTGTATAGTAATTCAAGTGTTCTTTCTTCTTCTTCTTCTTCAAGTAGTAGCCCTGTTTTTAGGAGTGACCTCGTGGTCTGGGGATACTGAGACCCAGCCATGAGCTCACTAATTTTGCATGTAATTCAGTTAATTTGAGCGTTCTGGTCGAAGCCGGAGAACAGTAACGTTTTTGTCAGCCTGATGTGAGAAAGACCACCGAAAAGTACTGGCTTGGTAGAGACGGTGAAAAACATGCAAAGCTCTGTTTAGACGCTAGCCAGTCGTCTTAAGACTTAGTTTTGTTATCCGTCGATATGTATCTTCCGGGCGAATGTTACAAAACTTGAACGTTTTTGTCACATTTTGAAATTCCCAACACTCTATTTGGAGGCTGTCAGAATACTCTCGGGGGTTGCGAATCTCTCTTCCAATCATGACTGTTCAAGTTTTTGTAGTTTACGAGTTTTAATAAATCGCAGGAAACTTAAGTTCAATTTTCTTTTCAAATTTTCAAATTCCCCACCCTCTAGGTGTCAGAAAACTCCTGAAAATGGGGGTTGAAAATCGTGCCCCCAGAAATGACCACTCAAATCTTTTTAGTTTCGGAGATATGACGTTTTTTGTGATTTTTAATAAATTTTAGCAAACAGAATTAAATTTTGCAGCCCTCTTTCTTGTAATGGGAGGAGAGGACTGTCAGAGTGTTTTCAGGGTTGCTAATCTTGTCTCCAAAATTGATTGCTCAATTCTTTGTAGTTTTCGCGATACGACATTTTCTAGCGATTTTTTCAAAAAAATTCAGAAAACCTAAATTTGCTTTTTTTTTGTTCAAATTCGAAATTCCCATCCCTATAGTTGGAAGCTGCCAGAGAATTTGAGGGGGTCGCGAATCTTGCCGCCACGTATGGCTGTTCAGGACTTTTAATTTCCAGATGAGACGTTTTAATGATTTTTCATTTTTTTTTTGAAATTTAAATTTAAAATTTTTCTCAAAATTCGAAATTCCTAGCCCTGTAGTTGGGTACTGTAAATTTACTGGCCAAATGCGACTGCTCAATTGGGCTCTTTTTCCTTTTCCCCCCATCTGCAAAATTTTACTTGTGAAGTTTTGTTCACTTTATCCGAATGTTACAAAAATTGGCATGTGAACTAATTAGGCCATGACAAACATTTTTGGTCTTCATAATTAACCTTGTAAAACCCCTCGTTACACCATAAAATTGACGCTTATGTGAGGTGGGGGGAAAAGGAAAAAGAGCCCTCAATTGCTTTTAGTTTCCAAGATGTGATGTTTTTTTATGTCATCTTAAAATTTTTCAAAATTTTTAGATATAAAAAACTCCACAAAATTTAATGGTTTTTCAAAATTTGAATTTGAAAACTCATAGAAAAAAAACAACATTTGAAATTATGAACTTTGTTAGTGGGTAGTGTCAGATTTTTGATCTTTTTTCAATATATGCGGTTTTTTATGAGTTCTCAAAAATTCGAAGAGCCGGAGTTGCGTTACGCTAGTATTTCTTCATTAAAAGTGCCGAGTACACAGGCAGCATTCGCAACCTGAATTGCGAGGAAGATTCTCTGTTTAAGAAAATTGCCTGCTTTGTGTTGCTCAGTACCTATGCTCAAGTGCTATGGCCAGCGCCACCCTGAACTTCAGCGGCTCTTCTTTTAAGAGTAATGAACTTAGTTATATAGGTCTTGCTGATTTTTTTTTTCGGTTTGTTTCAGGAAGTCTTAAAATATTGATGCACTTGGGTATAATGCACTTTTTGAGTTCAATTGGAATTCATCTGCTGAAAGTGACGTAAATAGCACTCTCCAAATACAAGCGTGGAAATGGCGCGAAAAAACCCGAACGATTTCTAGGTTCGAAAGGGGAATTTAATTTAAGTTTTCAAGCGGAAAAAAAATTTTACCTATTGATCCAGTTTTCTTTAGTTGGGTGCATGTTATCAAAAAAGCGGTAATCATAAATTGTTCTAGAAATTCAAAGAGCTTGCAGGGCGTCTATTTTTTTCTTTGAAATTCGAAAGTTGAGATTTTTTCTAGAAACTGTTTTTTTTAATGTTAACTTGCATTCATTACTCTTTTCCAATCTTCGATTGGCTATGTGTTAATTTTCGATTCAAGCTTTTACTATCCTCTGAATTTTTTAAAGCAAACGGGAAGAGCCGCTGGATCTTATTGTTCTGTCTTATTACATGATGATGCAACTTCCGTATCAAAAGTAACTCGGTTTATTGCAGGCGCAATGAGCGTATTTGTACAATTCCGGGCTATTTTTTTTGTAAACAATTTGTTTAATTTGCGGTTTTTTTCCTGTAAAAAATTTGTATTTTTAGCTTTGTTTTTTTTTCTTGTAAACAGTTTGCGTAATTTAGAATTTTTAAGCAATGCTCTCTGTGACCGAAACATTTTGTGCTTCTTTTACAACAATTATTTAGCTACGTTTTTCTGAGTTCTTGGGTTTCCTGTTTTTTTTTGGAATTCGGAATTGAAAAAATGTGTATATATTTTTTTAAATTCACACTTTTAAGTTTATACTATTTTCCAAAGCAATAAATGGATGCTTCTTCATGTCCATGCTGCAAGGGAGAATGCTTAATCGAGATGCTGATTTGTCGCTATGAATTTGAATCAATTAGTTTAGGCTTTAAACAGAAAATGTGTTCACTCGGTGGGAGGTTGTTCAGCCTGTTCTTCTGTAGCTTCTTCAGCTGTGGCTTCTGGCTCCTCCACTGTTGGGGCGTCCTGTTCATTGTTCGGTGTCTCCTCTGCGTCTTGATCTGGGACTTCAGATGCACCGTTGTCTTCAACTATTTCTTCGCCCGCAGCTTCTGTATTTTCAGTTGGTTCTGGCTCTGCAGGTTCATCTTCATTGATCTGCTTTTCTGATTCGCTTTCCTGTGGCTCTGCTGGGATTTCTTCGGTTGGTTCCGGGTCGACAGGGGCTGTCTCTTCCTCTCCCTCTGGTTGAGCTTGGCTCTCCTCGGCTTCTACGTCCTCGTCGGCTTGTGGTTCGGTTTCAGCTTCCCCACTGGCTGCTGCATCTTCAGCTTGTGCAGGTTCTACATCATCTTGATCGGCTTCAAGTTGATCGGCTTCAGGTGCAGCATCCTCTTCGGTTTCATCTGCTTGGGTGCCTGGATCTTCAGGTTGTTCTTCCGGTGCTTGTTTCTCTGGTTCTTCAGCTTCAGTGGGCTCCTCGGCTTGTGGTGTTGACGGTTCCTCCTCTTGTTCCGCCGCCTTCTCTATTGTTTCTGTCTCATCTTCTTGGTTTGCGACGGGTAGTTCTGGCTGACTCTCTTGTTCATTTTGGTTCCCACTGTCTTCCTGGTTGTTTTCGGGTTCACCTACAGCTGTAGCTTCCACCGGTGCTGGTTCTTCGTTCGATTCTTCTACTTCGCCTGTTGTCACATCTTCGGGACCAGCCGGCAGTTGCTGTTCGGTTGTTTGTTCAACCGGAGCTTCTATCTGACTCTGTTCTTCTGGTTGCGCAATCGGATCGGAAGTGTGTGCTTCTCCAGCTTGTGCATCTTCTGGCTCTGCCGCTTGTGTATCTACCGTCTCTTGGATTGGTTGAGTTCTGGAGAGCTTGGAGCTCATAGGGCGTGACTTTGGTCTACCTTGAGCAGGAGGTGTAGGCTGAGATAGTGCTTCCTTTTTATCATAGTTGTAGTACCTAAATCCAAATGTGTAATAATGTCTACATAAAAATGGTCAATGAACCATTCCATTAATGGCCGAAATAGAATCTTTTAAATTTGTCGTAAAAATTATTAGGCTTTGTCGGAATGTTCCAGCTAACTGACTTTGCCATGTGCATTTTTCGGCAGTCTAATACTTAGTTCACAGATCTGACGTGGTAAGTCGGAATACATAAGGTGTATATATGGGTAGTACTAGATAAGAAGTTACCTGTCTTCGCGTTTGGCCCCCAAGTTGGCCGGGTCTAGAAATCCCTCTGGGTCATAGCCGCCTGCCTCCCTCCTCTCAAGCAGAGCTGCGAAGTATTCTGCCGCAAATGATGGAATATCAGCCGGCTGGCTCCTCAGTACTTCACGTGCTAGTCCTTCTAGAAGGTTCTGAAAACCGCGAGGAGGTCTTAACTTAGTGTTCGAATAAGGCACAGCCATTGTTTAAAATAAGTTTTTTTTTAAAAAAAAAGAGATTGTGTATTGATTGTCGAATAATAGCTTGGTTTATAATATATTAAGACTGCGTTTTTTGATGCTATGTACAGTAGCCAATAATGAATGCTCTTTTTGAAGCACGTGTGCCAAATCAGTTTATAATGGACTGCGTGTGTTGTAACGAAAACACTTTTTGCTCTGTACTAGACCGGCAAATATATAGTTTGTGAATTTATTTCTGCATCCACTGTTTTTGGTTTAAAGTTATACAAATAAAATGGATGTTGATGTCAATTTATATGATTTCGACATAGCAAAATGCCACTTTTTATGCAAACCTTTTTTGAATTTACAGTAATAGACGTGATAGTTAGCCTAACGGAATCCCACTACTGAATTGTATCAATTGAGCGCCGCGTAAAATAAGCAAGAGAATTGCAGTAGGCTCATAGAAGTTTCTTGTAGTCAAATTTGACCACAATTATTGATGTCGTTTAAAAATAGGTTTAATTTAAAATTTCCAATTCAGAGTAATTAAGACGTAGTTCAGACTCTTATATAGGTCTTGGTTATTTTTTTTGTTTTTTAGGAGTTTTCGCGGTTTCACTTTTCATTTCTTTTCAAGTTCAGCTCATTCCCATTGTTGAAAAAAAATACCAACTCCACTTAAGAACAGCAAAAGTGTGAAGGTCACAAAACACGTGATCGTTTTAATTTGAAGATTTCTTAGCGGAATTGAAAAGTTACCTCCATCCAGTTTTCTCAAGTTGGGTTGATTTTATCGAAAAAAGTCTCAATCATAAATTGTTCTAGAAAATTTATAGAGCTTCAAGGTCATATCTTTTTACTCGGAAAATCGAAAGAATTTTCAAAAAAAAAAACAAAGTCAGTATTTTTTCATTGACTTTTTTCCAATTCTGTTTGCTATTTTTTTTCGAGTTTAAAGTTTTTTCATTGAAAACATTTTGTTTCGGCTCTATGGGTGTCTGCTCAAGTATGGTCGGATTTCAGTTTCTGTTTGTCTGCTGATTTTTTGTCAATTTATTTGCCACATTGTGGAATTTTTTTGTGCGGCCGGCAATTTTCATCGTAGACGCAATTGTTTGTGATGTATTCCTGTTGTTTATTAGATTAATATCCCTGACTTCGTATCTTTTATTATTTTCTTTTCTTTTTTGTTTTCGCTTAAAAGCTTAATCAGCCTGACTGTTTTCGGTTTTTGTTTTATTGGCTTAGTTGCATTGATTTTGTGTCGCTTCAAGGTGTCGTCGTTTAGGTTGTTAAAAAACGAGGTTGATTTGAAACTTATTTGCCCAATTTTTATGCCAACCTTTAAAGGTATTTTGGTTAATTGGGTGTTTTTTTGGCTCAATGGGCGTCTTGTTTGAGGCTATTTGTTGCGTTCCTGAAATTTTTTCCATTTCCTAAATATATTTTTTCGATGTTTTTTCTGTCTCGTTTTCTATTCGCTATCTTGCAATGCGTGCTTGCGATGCAGCGAAAGTGATGCGAACCTCCGCTTCGCCTCATTGTCTTCATTTCAAATTGGCAATTGTCTCGTGGAATCTTCTCACCGAAATGAATTCAATAAAAAATTGATTGTAAGACACAAACTGCAGCAGTTCACTACTGCTCTTCTAGGTTTGATGTTCTTACCCTTGCGATAAGCAAGGTTATTGTAACCACGTATTGTTTTCATAAATAACTTTGTTCACATGATTTGAAATTTAATTGATCTTACAATCTGTACTTCCGTCAATCAGAATATATATTTTGGGATGCGGATAGCCAAAAAACCACTCTATCTACAAACCGCCAAATCTTGAAACCGAAATTTCATCAGTATTACGTAAGTTACATAAAAATCACGTAATAATTGCATAACAGCAATGACACTTTGTTGCTATGTTGCTTAGCAATTATCATTTTCGGCTTGTTGGAATGGTAATCCAATTTTTGGTTAGTTGGACCTTCGGCTCTTGTTGTTTCTTGTGAAAGTGACTGGTTCCTAATTTTTTTTGCAATATTCATTTAGCATTCAATTAACCCAGTTGACACTTTTTCTCAAAAGGAGTTACAAATTACGTATAACAAATTGCGTAAACCATGAAAATTACGTTAGGTTCACCTTTTTTCGACATTTTATTTGACTGTTTTCAAATTTGGCTTAAACCAGAGTACTAATTTTTGCTCTGTTTGTTTTGTTTCGCAAGTGGTGCAAAACACTGCTTCGCCTCTGCTCAATAAGAATAAATAAATATTCTATTCTAATAATAATAAAAATGTATGCATGATGTTGAGATAAATGCAGTTCTTAACTAATTTTCTGAGTTTATGAATGCCACGGCTTCAACTGATTTTGATCCTTGCTACAACTGGCTGGTTAAATTAAATTTAGTATCAGTTATTACATCGAAATATTTTGCAAGATGAGTTTTTTGCAAAACTGAATATCGCAATTGTGCACCTTTTTCTTAGCACCTCTTTTTTGTTGAAAATTTGGCCGGTGTTTTTTGCTGCTGCTAAATATTGACTTTTGGTACATTCTTTTGGCTCTGTTAGTTTTTTTTTTCAAAGCTTGTGTGATATTATGAACTCTTTTTTCCAACCTAAGTCGCAAATATTAGTGTTCATTTTGAAAGTGTTCATTTTGATCAATAACCAGCTATTAAATACAGCCGATGCTAAGGATATTAACACAGACTATTATATGACAAACAGCAATTTAGCTTCAAGGTAGCGTAGAGGTAGGGAAGTTGACCCGCAACAAAATTAAAGGGTTCGCAAAAGGGTTTTTAATGAACTTTTTCGTATACTAGTTAAAATGCGTCCGCACTATTAATTGAGGCACGTTAGTTGGTAAGTTTCTTTTTTTTTCAAACTGTTTAGTACTGATAATGCGTCATAATTGGCTTGCGTCACTTAGCAATTATTTAGACTCATAATTGGCGTGCGAACTTGCGAAATTTTGTAGACTCAAAGTTTTACTCATTCAGTTTTTCCCAGAAGCGTTATCGCATATTTTTGCTTGTGTATGCGAAGTGCAACTTCGCCTCTGTGTTGAAATTGGACACCTAATTTTAACGGAACGTTTTACTTATGCACGAGTTTTGTTATGCATTTAGAATTTTGCCTCGAGCTTCCAATAAAGTTTTGAAGTTTATGAAAAAAAGTAGTCCTATTTTGATTTCCTGATTGATTTTGTTTTCACAAGTTTTTGTAGTTAACAAGATCCAACATGCTTAGCAGAGCGTTGTAATCCGATTTGTAAGAAAAGTTAAAAAAAAACTGTATTATAAATGACTTATTGGCTGATGTATGCATAATAATTGCGACTAGATATCAATTGGCCTTCTTAATGAGTGATTCTTTTAGAGTTGTGTTGTATATCGAAAGTGGTGTTGTGTTTTTCAGTTAGTGTATTGGATAATTGAGAAATGTCGATAATTCAGAAGATAGCAGAGATCGAGGCTGAGATGGCGAGGACACAGAAGAACAAAAACACAGCATACCATCTAGGCATGCTTAAGGCCAGACTGGCCAAACTGAAGAGGGAGCTTATAACTCCCAAGTCATCTGGAGGAGCAACTGAGGCTGGATTTGACGTCGCCAAGACAGGGGACGCCAGAATAGGTACAAAATCTAGCTTCAGTATTAAAAAAAAGTGGCTAAGAATTGCACCCTTTTTTATGCTTTTTCACCGACATGAAAGTCCAAAAGTTGATCATTCTCATTCTTTCTTTAAATTTGGGGCTATCAAATTGGCTGCTAGAATTTCTTTTTTTAAACCTATGAGCAACTTTGTCAGCTCATGGCGTATCTAAGGTTTTCTCGAAGGGAGGGGGATTTTTTGTATAGGTCGACCAAAATCCATCATCTATCTATCTTTTATATATTTACTCTGTCTATCAGTTTAGTGTATTATTACGAACCGTCTTTTTTCGAACCTTACTCGCAAATAAAAGTGTTCATTAAAAGTGTTCACTTATTTGGTGGCACTTTTGCTATAATCACGATCTGTAGCATTGGAAACTTCATAGCATTTGTTCTCCTTTTTATTTATGACTAGTGTTTGTAACCTATTGAGCGTCCGTGGCTGAGTGGTTTGTGTGTCAGACTCTAATCTCTAGGTCGCAGGAGGTTCGAATCTCCGACGTAGCCGAATTTTACTATCCCCAAATCTTTTTTAGTTTACAAGTTACCAAGATTCTTGTGATTTTTTTTCGAAAAGTTTCAGAACATTTAGATTTGAAAAGTTTCAATAAATTTGAAAATTGCCAACCTTGTAGTCAAGTTTTATCGACGAACTCTCAGGGGTTGTAGAAATTTCCTTCAAAGAGGACTGCTCAAATGCTTTTGGTTTCCGAGATATGACGTTTTTTTTTTCAATTTAAAAAAAAAACGTTTTAAAATTCGAAATTCCCAAACCCACAGTGGGGATGTTCTCTGAGGTTTCTCAGAAATTGCAGATTTTAACTCCAAGTTTGATTTCTCAAATCATCCTAAAGTCTGAGATATGCCGTTTTTTTGTGCTTTTCAAAATTTTTCTCAAAACTTCAGATGTAAATGAATTCCTAATTTTAAAGTACTCAAAACTATGGCGAGGTGCTCTCAAGGTACTCTCATGATGTTTGTCTGGACTCTAATTGTAAATGCTCAACGACTTTTGTTGTTTTCTTAGATATGACGTTTTTATCTGTTTTGAAAATTTTCAAAAGTGTTAAATTTTAAATCACTTTTCAAATTTTGAAATTGTTAACCCATTGATTTGATGTCAGGTTACTAACAGCGGATTTATATATGGCCTCTCATTCTTATGTTATCGCTCACATTTTTTTATTTAAAATTAAATAATGACACTAGGAAAAAAGAGTCTGATATTTCAAAATTATTTTGTTTTTAGAATTTGATATTGCAATTGAAAAGGTTTCAATTTTTTTAAATACGGAAAGTGCAGTTGTATGTTGTCGGCCATTTAATGTTTTGCTTGCGACCATCTGAAACCCAGTAGTTTTGGACAAACCTTCAAATCAAAATTATTGTTCAAATTTTGAAATCAAAAGCGTTGTAGGATCCCCCTTGTATTTTTTTGGTTGCATTCATTTCACTTTTTTCATTTATTTTATGTGTAAGGAAATTTCGTGTTCACCAATCTGTTTCAACCACTGGAGATACGCTTTTTTTAACGCATACCCCTCCCGCAAAATAAGTTTGCATTGGTTCACAAAGCGGATTTAAGAAGTTCTAAAGTCGTTCGGCCGAAAATGAATGTCGTAAAATAGTGCGAAAGGCATTTTTGTGTTTCTTGAGTTCATTAACAGTTTTCCCCTCCACTGTCTATTCAATTTTTGATACAAATTATGTTAGATTTAGTTTGATTTTGGAGAAATAAATTTTCTTTCTTTTCCAACTATCTTGCTCGTTTTTATTCAGCTAATGACCTGATATATCTGTAGTTTCACTATGTTTTTAACAGAATGCTTGTGTGAGATTTTAAAAACTGCTAAAACTTTCTGAATTGTTATAAAAATACAGGTGAAATTTTATTATCATATAAGTGCAAGGTAGATTACAGTTTTTTCGTTTTTTCGCTGTTTCTTTGAAGTTCATATCTCTTACATCTTGCGCACGTACCTGTGAATATTATTCACCATTTAATGTCACGTCTGTCAAAACCGTACACCACCACCCCCCCCCCCCCCCCCCCCCCCACGACAACCACCACCACCTCAGCATGGAGAAGTGAAATAAATTAAAGCACCTAGGAGCCTTGTTTGCAAGTTGCTCCTATTTGTATGGGACTGACTTTGCATGTTTAGGCTTCGTCGGCTTCCCGTCCGTCGGCAAGTCCACTCTGCTGACTAATCTGGCAGGCGTCTACTCGGAAGTGGCGGCCTATGAGTTCACCACTCTCACCACTGTGCCCGGAGTGATTCGGTTCAAGGGCGCCAAAATACAGCTGCTCGATTTGCCCGGAATCATTGAAGGGGCCAAGGACGGGAAGGGAAGAGGAAAGCAAGTATGTTGTTTGTTCATTTTGGCCTTGATTTATAATGATATGAACGAACTGAATTTTACTTTTTAGTTCGTTTTTTTTTCAAAAGAATTTTTTTTTGTAATCTCCAGTTTATTTTTGTTTTTTCGTGGCTGGAATTCTGATTTCTTTTCACGCTTTCCGAGTGGAACTCAATTTACGTTTTCAATTATCAAAAAGTGAAAATATCTCTTGGCTTATTGTCAAAAATGAATTTAATTTTCATCATTCACCAAGCATCAAAAATTACGCTAGAAATCTCATTTCTCAAAATTTTGTGTTTTTCTGCACAAAGAAACAAAGGTTGCTTGAGCTTTAAAGTGGTGTTTTTTTCTGTGAAATAATTTCAAAAGCCTCCTTGAGTGAAATTTTTGAATCTCCTTGAGTTTATTACCGCTTTTGCAGCTATATGTTGGTTATGTTCATAGCAAATAATGTAATTAAACTGTACAGTAATGCTTGAAATCGTATTACGTTTCATGGTTTTTGTAAGCAAAAAATTGGGTTCTGTGAAAGTGATTATAGGTTAAAAAAACTATAGTTTGGTATTTTTGGGTCGATTTTTGTTGTGTTAGTCAATGCTGCGAAGCGGTTAGCTCGAGGGTGAATTTTGGTCAAGTGTTGTAATGTTTTTAGGTCATCGCAGTTGCGCGTACATGCAATCTCATCCTGATCGTTTTGGATGTTCTGAAGCCATTGGGCCACAAACAAATCATAGAACACGAATTAGAGGGATTCGGGATACGTCTGAACAAGAAACCTCCGAGTATCTACTTCAAACGAAAAGAAAAGGGCGGTATCAATTTCAACGCCACAGTTACACTCACACATTTAGACCAAGATACAGTCAAAGCTATTCTATCCGAGTACAAGATCCACAATGCTGACGTCACATTTAAATGCGACGCCACAGAAGATGACTTCATAGACGTCATTGAGGCGAACAGAATTTACATTCCGTGTATATACGTCCTCAATAAAATCGACCAGATTTCAATTCAAGAGTTGGACATCATCTATAAAATACCACACTGTGTGCCTATATCTGCTCACAACAAGTGGAACTTTGACGACCTTCTGGAGAAGATTTGGGATTATCTTGACCTGATTAGGATCTACACGAAGCCAAAAGGACAACTTCCTGATTACAGCGCCCCAGTGGTGCTGCCAAGTGAAAACTGTACCATTGAAGATTTCTGCAACAAGATTCACAAGACCATAATAAAGGAGTTTAAATATGCACTTGTGTGGGGAACATCCGCTAAACACGCACCTCAAAACTGCGGAAAAGACCATCCGCTAAATGATGAAGATGTAATTCAAATCATTAAAAAAGTTTAATTCAATTTTTTCAATTTAATTTCCTACACAGACTTGTGAAGCTCAAGAGTACAAAAAAAGGAGCCAAACTGACGTCCGATTAGTTTTAATCCTGTTTTAACTATTTGCGGAAACTTGATGCATTTTATGCTAATTATGTGATTGGATCAATTGAACTAGGTTTTGGCTCCTTAAAATATATAGTTTAACGCAAGTCGAAATTGACAGTCTTTCTGGTATGATCAGTGTTTGCGTGACTTGGGCCGATTTTTTTTAGGATCGGGGTAGACTTCGTTGACAGAGGGGATACCGCCGGCTCTACATGCACCCTTGCCCCAAGCATAGGGGGGTGCTTTCTGGTCTGAAGGGGCTTCCTCGGCTGATTGGCTCCACAGTTTACTGCGCCAGATCTCTCCCTCGTTACCGCCCTCTAAATTCAGTCAATGAGAATCATACATTGATGAATTATCAACAATTTTTTTTAAAAAAATTTGTGAATGAGCAAAGTCAGCAGTGACTTAATTTAAATTGGCTGTCACCGATCGGAAATTTTTTACTACAATACTCAATAGAATTCAATAAGATTTTATGAAGCGTAACGATCTGGTAAATCGGAGAATTTTAGCATGCCTTAATTAAGAGTAATGAACGTAGTGAAGACTCTTATATAGATCTTGATGATTTTTTGCTGAATCTTATATAGGTCTTGAGGAAAAGTCCTAAAATGCGCATAAAAGTCTAATAACTACAGATGTGCATTCATACATATTAATGCATTTATGAATGCACTTATGTATATATGCCCTTTTTGAGTTCAATTGAAATTCTTCTGCTGAAAGTGACGTAAATAGCACTCTCCAAATACGAACATAACAATGGCGCGAAAAAACGTGAACGATTTCTAGTTTCGAAAGTGGAATTTAATTTTTAGATTTCCAGCGGAATAAAAACTTAACCTGTTGATCCTGTTTTCTCAAGTTGTGTTAATGTTATCAAAAAAGCGTCAATCGTAAATCGTTCTAGGAGTTCAAAGAATTTAAATTTAAAGTGCATCTATTTTTTTCTTTCGGAAGATTTTTTTCAACTAAGTAAGTTGTAATTGTTGAGATCCGAAAAAAAGCTGCACCAGTTTTGCCCTAAGATTTTTATCGTACAGTCACGGAACATAGATGTTACATTTTTTTTGATTTCAACGACCGATGAACGAATTTTTTCTTAACTTTTTTGTCGTTTTCTCTGCAACTATTTCGGATATATGGGTAAAATTTTGATAGCTGCCAGATAAAGCTATTTGAAGGAGCTAGCTGGATTTAAATTTGAGAAGTATTGTTTTGAAGTCTTAGAATATCCGGTGAATCATAACTAGTTACTGTAAGACGCGGAGAACGCCAGACAAAAGAATTGAAAAAATGACTTGGTGCCGTGTCAAAAGACGGTCGTATTCGTTTTATCGATCCAGACATTAAAAGGTCTACTGCGCTCACACCAGATAATTGGTGAACATTTGGAGACAACATTGCAGACAGATTTTGTGTATAGATCCTGAACAGTAATGCCCAATTTCTTCTGTTGGCTTATCTCGATGATAAGCACAAAAAGACTCATTTGTTTTTAGCCGTTTTTTGAAGCCGGGAAAAGTTTTTTTCCCGCGGCATAAAGGGAAAGTCAAGCTCATCAGCTTCCCAAAAAACTAATTTGAGCTCATAAATTTAAATTTTTTGGTTTTTTTGCGAATTTGTTTCCATAGCAAGAACACTTCTATAACTATTTATGTTATACAGGCTTTTGGAAAAACAGAATTAATTTCTTCTGAAGGAAATTTCTCAATTTTTGATTCGGCTAGCTCCTGCCAAATGGTTTCATTTAGCATGTGTCAAATTTCAAACCCCTAATCTTAAATAGTTGCAGAGAAAATGACAAAAATTTGAACAAAAAATTCGTTTATTTGCCCGATGAAATCAAAAAGTTGAATTGTCTTTGTCCTGTGACTGTAGCAGATATGAAACAAAGTACAAATTTGTTTTTAAATTATGCCAATCTTTATTTGAAATGCAATATGTGACTTAAATCAGCCAGATAATTGCACACAGAATTTCATTGAAGAAGAAAAAGACTGAATATTTTGAATATCTTGATGATTTTTTGTAAAATAAAATTTCGACTACTGTTTGTACCCCATGCAGTGTCATCTACTAATTGATAAAGTTTTCATCTGGCAGGGATTTACGGTTATATGTCAATTTGCCCCAAGTCAACTTGTCCAATGCCATCTTGTCCCAGACAATAAAAAAAAAGAAACTTGCCCCAGATTGTTTGATATCCTCGTGGAACATAATGTCGACATAAAGATGAAAGATATTTTTGTTGAACAATTAAGCTTGAAACAAAATGCGGAATCATTAAAACATGTGCTGAATCAAAATGAGTTCAAAGCATGCATGAACCAAATGAAAGCGACAAATGCAGTTTTAATGTCGAGTAAAACATTTCAAAAGATTGATTGCTGATATTGTAAGCACCTATTGCATAGTTAATAGTGCACAACACTCTTAATCAAAAAAGTCAAGAGTTCAAAACTTGAAGTCAAAAAATTTCAGTCAATCGATGAAATTGAAAACCGCAGGTACTGCCTCGCCTCCAAAAACCCTATATACTGAGTAACCCAGAATAGGGGGGGAGGGGAGGGAGTTGAGGGTAAGAGCAAAATTATTGCAGTATTAGCCTTTATCACCTCTCAAAATTTGGACCCTGTACGATGGCTATAAGTTAAAATAAGTGGTGATTTTTTTAAAATCAAATAAAAATGAAACAAAATGCCGACCATTAAGTGGAAGTTATGCCGACAATTTAAAAGTTACGAAAGAGTTAAATGAGCTAGTGCATATAAATAGTCAACAACATGGTCTTTGTTGAAATTACTAGAAATGTTTTGGAGTTTTGCATGAATATCCCGATATTTCTTCCACCCTTGATTCTGCGTTCCCCCATAGCCTTCAAAATGTTGAATTTCTGATTAGTTGAGTCCATTTGAATCTTATTCAGGAAGGTGTAGATGCTTGGTTGGCTCTCTTGAAATAGTGCTGTCCCTCCGAGATGCCAACTTTCAACGGCGTTTGTCGTTCTTATCAAGCCTTCCGCTGCTTCTTGGGAATGGTTCCAGAGACTCATCGGGAATAACGGTTGCCTGCTGTTTCTCATTGTTTCGCCTTTAATATAACTTCTCTGAAAGTATGAGGCAAGTTCGTCAATTGTATCTGACAGGCTTTGCTCAAGATCTAATCGGTCCACCACTTGCTTATTCTCCTCAATGACGCTCTCAAACGATTGTTCCACTAAACCAGTTGGAACAAAACTGAGAGCGGGTATTAAACGCAGAGCCAAGCTCAGCTCGCAGTTACAGTTGTTTTCATAGGCTTTCTTCAAACCCAGCTCGTTAACTTTGCGTAAGAAGGCCTGGCAGAGGTAAAAGTAACAGCCTTCGAGTGAAGACTCTGGAAACGCACCTGTAAAATGTTTACGGCAGCTCGTTCAAAATCTAGAGGAATCCTCGATGGTTGCGCGTTATGAGAGACAGAGGCGAAGGCTTTCAAGAATTTTGAATTTGTCTGTTCGGTTTTTTTGGCAATAGAGCACAAATGCATGGTCGGTAAAATCCACCAATTTGAATGTGTATGGTATAAAGCTGGTAAAATCGTATTGGGCAAATTTTAAATATACCGTCGCAAAGCCAAAGAAGATTGTGAACTCGGAGGCATGAACATTATCTCGATCACCGAAAACTAAAATTGCACGACTGGGCAAGGATAATTGAACTGCTTTCTCACCTGTAACTTCCTGGAAACACGTGGCAATTATACACTATTGACAGGTACAATTTGCTGCCTCGCCTCTCTTTTCATCTGATCCATGATCTATTTGCCTCAGTTTTCCCAGGTCTAACATCGTGGATGTGCTCATTTTTTGTTGATACGAGTTCATCTCCTGCTGTGACGGCGAGCATGCGGCATTTGTGTGAACTGTATCTTGCGCATCTCCAGTGCTCAGTAGTTTTTGTCGTTTGCTTTTTTGTGAAATCGTGTCCGTCAATAATGAGCGTTCGTTTATTTCTTTGAGATCTTCCCCACGTAATTTGACTCAAAGTATTTATGTTGGATTTGATTTATGTTGGATTTAGGAACAAAATGCTAAACAATGAAGCAAAATGAAAGAATAGGCGTGTTTCATTTTGTTTCAGTGGCGCTAATTATGGATTTTTGTCAAATTTTGGTGCGTAATTACCAAAAATTATGGTTTTTAGGCTCAGCTTCAAGATCTTTCGATTAGAGTCTTTTGTTATCAAAAAACTAGTCCTGTCTACATTAGCACTTGCTGGTCCTCAATTTGAACATCAAAGAATCAAGTAAAAGTTTAAGTATGGGACAAAACGGCATATGACAAAATGTCTTGTGGGGCAAGTTGGCATAGGACAAGTTGCCATGCAGGGCAAGTTAGTATAGGACAAGTTGGTATAGGGCCAATTGACTTGGGGCAAATAGTCCTGACACCGGGATTTACTGAAACCAATTAGTTTGATTCAGTTCAATTTGATTTGTGCGAGGTTAATTTGCCGCGCCTTAATATTTTGCACTGAGCATTATAGATCAAGCATTATAGATTTGCACTGAGCATTATAGAGCATTATAGATCAAGCTATAATAATAGTGATGAATATTATAGATAAACAGAAAAAAGCGCTCGTAAATGAAGCAGTGCAACTGAATGAAATTTTAAACTGTGTAACTCCAATAAAAAGATTTGTCAGCATCCTTGATGTGGTAAAAATTTATGTTATGGCGCACCTGTTATAATTATACTTCTTACGTTGTTTTTTATACCCCAATGAAAAAAAGACTCCCTGATTTGAAATTTTATCTCACCTGCAACCTAGTAAAATTCTGAGGGTTTGCGCATTCATTACAAATATAGCAATTCTCTGAAGTAAATTATGCACGCTTTGATGATTTTATATATGATGCTAAAAGCTTGACGCGAATTATTTCTGTGGCAAAATATCCCGCTCTCAAATTATTTCCATTTTGGAATGAGGCAAACTGTTTACTCATATTAATTTGCTATAAGTTTCTTAAATTACTCACTCTAAGCCATAGTTAATTCCAGTCACATCGTGATGTTGATGAAAACAAGGCCACAGAAAAAAGTTAGAATTGGCACTTAAATGATTATATTACATGATGAAGATGTAATTCAAATCATTAAAAAAGTTAAATTCAATTTTTTCAATTTAATTTCCTACACAGACTTGTGAAGCTCAAGAGTACAAAAAAAGGAGCCAAACTGACGTCCGATTAGTTTTAATCCTGTTTTAACTATTTGCGGAAACTTGATGCATTTTATGCTAATTATGTGATTGGATCAATTGAACTAGGTTTTGGCTCCTTAAAATATATAGTTTAACGCAAGTCGAAATTGACAGTCTTTCTGGTATGATCAGTGTTTGCGTGACTTGGGCCGATTTTTTTAAGGATCGGGGTAGACTTCGTTGACAGAGGGGATACCGCCGGCTCTACATGCACCCTTGCCCCAAGCATAGGGGGGTGCTTTCTGGTCTGAAGGGGCTTCCTCGGCTGATTGGCTCCACAGTTTACTGCGCCAGATCTCTCCCTCGTTACCGCCCTCTAAATTCAGTCAATGAGAATCATACATTGATGAATTATCAACAATTTTTTTTTAAAAAAATTTGTGATTGAGCAAAGTCAGCAGTGACTTAATTTAAATTGGCTGTCACCGATCTGAAATTTTTTACTACAATACTCAATAGAATTCAATAGATCGGAGAATTTTAGCATGCCTTAATTAAGAGTAATGAACGTAGTGAAGACTCTTATATAGATCTTGATGATTTTTTGCTGAATCTTATATAGGTCTTGAGGAAAAGTCCTAAAATGCACATAAAAGTCTAATAACTACAGATGTGCATTCATACATATTAATGCATTTATGAATGCACTTATGTATATATGCCCTTTTTGAGTTCAATTGAAATTCTTCTGCTGAAAGTGACGTAAATAGCACTCTCCAAATACGAACATAACAATGGCGCGAAAAAACGTGAACGATTTCTAGTTTCGAAAGTGGAATTTAATTTTTAGATTTCCAGCGGAATAAAAACTTAACATGTTGATCCTGTTTTCTCAAGTTGTGTTAATGTTATCAAAAAAGCGTCAATCGTAAATCGTTCTAGAAGTTCAAAGAATTTAAATTTAAAGGGCATCTATTTTTTTCTTTCGGAAGATTTTTTTCAACTAAGTAAGTTGTAATTGTTGAGATCCGAAAAAAAGCTGCACCAGTTTTGCCCTAAGATTTTTATCGTACAGTTCTAACAATTTTCCCAGGTCTAACATCGTGGCTGTGCTCATTGTTTGTTGATACAAGTTCATCTCCTGCTGTGACGGCGAGCATGCGGCATTTGTGTGAACTGTATCTTGCGCATCTCCAGTGCTCAGTAGTTTTTGTCGTTTGCTTTTTTGTGAAATCGTGTCCGTCAATAATGAGCGTTCGTTTATTTCTTTGAGATCTTCCCCACGTAATTTGACTCAAAGTATTTATGTTGGATTTGATTTATGTTGGATTTAGGAATAAAATGCTAAACAATGAAGCAAAATGAAAGAATAGGCGTGTTTCATTTTGTTTCAGTGGCGCTAATTGTGGATTTTTGTCAAATTTTGGTGCGTAAATACCAAAAATTATGGTTTTTAGGCTCAGCTTCAAGATCTTTCGATTAGAGTCTTTTGTTATCTCAAAACTAGTCCTGTCTACATTAGCACTTGCTGGTCCTCATTTTGAACATCAAAGAATCAAGTAAAAGTGTTAAGTATGGGACAAAACGGCATATGACAAAATGTCTTGTGGGGCAAGTTGGCATAGGACAAGTTGCCATGCAGGGCAAGTTAGTATAGGACAAGTTGGTATAGGGCCAATTGACTTGGGGCAAATAGTCCTGACACCGGGATTTACTGAAACCAATTAGTTTGATTCAGTTCAATTTGATTTGTGCGAGGTTAATTTGCCGCGCCTTAATATTTTGCACTGAGCATTATAGATCAGGCATTATAGATTTGCACTGAGCATTATAGAGCATTATAGATCAAGCTATAATAATAGTGATGAATATTATAGATAAACAGAAAAAAGCGCTCATAAATGAAGCAGTGCAACTGAATGAAATTTTAAACTGTGTAACTCCAATAAAAAGATTTGTCAGCATCCTTGATTTGGTAAAAATTTATGTTATGGCGTACCTGTTATAATTATACTTCTTACGTTGTTTTTTATACCCCAATGAAAAAAAGACTCCCTGATTTGAAGTTTTATCTCACCTGCAACCTAGTAAAATTCTGAGGGTTTGCGCATTCATTACAAATATAGCAATTCTCTGAAGTAAATTATGCACGCTTTGATGATTTTATATATGATGCTAAAAGCTTGACGCGAATTATTTCTGTGGCAAAATATCCCGCTCTCAAATTATTTCCATTTTGGAATGAGGCAAACTGTTTACTCATATTAATTTGCTATAAGTTTCTTAAATTACTCACTCTAAGCCATAGTTAATTCCAGTCACATCGTGATGTTGATGAAAACAAGGCCACAGAAAAAAGTTAGAATTGGCCATTAAATGATTATATTACATACAATCAAATCATAATATGAAAATCCCAATGGTGCGCAAATAGAACAGAGTTTTCCATCTTATAGATTTGAAGTAAAACTAAAAAACGAATGGATTATTTTGGAAAATTTTGGCGTTTTGTGCGAAGGTGGGTCGGAAGGGGCAAAGCAAGCATGGCGGATTATTTACACCATTGTTACCTTACAATGCACAATATACAGACTAAGAAGCAAACATTTGTAAGTGGTGATTGGGAGTACTTGAAGAGTTTTTTTAAATTGGAAATTTGTTTTTTTATATATAAGAAATTTTTTTTTTAATTAGATTTTTTTTTTCATGAGAAATTTGTTTTTTTAAATTAAAAAATAATAATAATTTAAAAAAGTAGAAGTTTGTGTGGTATACTAACTGGGCACTATGGACGTGTTGCGCACTTTTCCATCCGGCATCTTGACCATGAGAGAGTCCTCCTTCTGTTCCTTCCACTGTTTGCGAGGAGCACTCTTCTCTCCCAGTCGCCATGCATTGTTCATCATGACGTCAAAGTAGGCGTCACTGTCTATGGACGCAGACACTCCTGCGTAATAGGCCACGAATTCATCACGAGTCACCTGAAACGCAGAGAAAACTTTTTATTAACAACAACGTGATTGAGAATTTGTCTTAGATTTAGTCGGGTTTAGTTGTTGACAGTACAAAATGTACACATCCAATCAAGATGTCATAAGGAAGTGGTAAATATCTATTTCTTTCAATTTTCTCGTTTTTGGTCATATGGTACCAGGGGCGGATTTAGGGGGGGGGGGCTGGGAATTTAATTAGAATAACTGAAGAAAATGTATATAATTAGAGTTTCTACCGTTGGATAAATTGTGATAATAGAGAGGCAGATTGTATATAGAATCTGATCATATTTAGTTCAGCTTCAATGGATTAGGTAATTTCGTATTCTTTTCCTCTCTAACTTTCGACGAAAATTTAAAACTTCGATTAATTTAATTGTCATCAAAAATAGTTTTAACTTTGGCGAATTTCAACGATAAACGTGCATTATGTTAGACCGTTGTTTAGACTGAAATTCTGGCGTCGCGGAATCATTGTATCAAAAAAGTCAATATACTTTTATGTAACAAGCGCTTGGTCTTTGTCACAATATAGACACCAAAATTTAGTGAATTATCAAACCTAATTTGTAACGTGATTCAACAAGTTTAAAAATGTATGACCGCGGAATTCAATAAGTAGCAAATAAGTTTATTTCGGCCGTTCTAGAAAAACTATTTTGATCGTTCTTGTCTATAATTATGCCCTTAAAATGTTATAAGCTGTTCATAATCAAAATCTTATTTATGAATGAATGTTTACATATGTTTCGGATGAGCGGTTTAGAGGGGTTCAATTTTTTTGGTCAGTCTATGGGATCTTTTCTTTTTCACACCCCAAAAGCAATGTCTTTCATAATTTGAAAAAAAATGGATCAGAATTGTTGAATCTGATTACTTAAAACGTTGAATTCAATTGCCGCAAACGAAAAGCTTGAAGCTTATATTGAAGCATACGCTCATTAAACAAAGTTAACATCCTCCCCCCCCCCCCCCCCCCCTCATGTTAACTTGGTTCTAGGTTGGGGTTTTTCAGCCAATCAGAATCGAGAATTTTACATGCAGCGCTTGCAATTTTAATTTAAAATAAGCGCTGGGGTGGAGGATCTTAACTTGATCCCGCTCATTTTTTGTTTTTATATTTTCTGGAAGATATAACTGAGAATTTGTTGTTGTTGTAAATTATCGAATCTTACTGTGCCGTCGGTGGACTCCTCGGACTCGAATGTCTTGAGGAACTCCTCGAAGATGCGGTCGGCGCCCCACTCCCCACTCATGTACTTGGGATGTTTGCTCACATCATACACACCCTCCAGGTCCTCCTTCGTCACCAGTCCACTCTTGTCGTAGTCCAACTTGGAGAAAGCACGCATGATCAAATCCATCCGTCTGTTGTTGAGAGGCGGCTAAAACATAGTAATACACTAGACATCATTAGACACAGATTGCGAATCACCGCTACTTTAAGATGAATCAACTTCAAAATGTGGACACAATCGTAAACACAACTCAAAAAACAGCATCGTCGACAAACCAAAAGAAAGAAGACGACAGCTCGCCTAGTTAAAATTATTTTGTCTGAAAATTCGGAGGACTTTTTTAGATCGAGAAATTTGATTTTCCGAGCTCTCGGAAAATACTAAAGGGACCCTATTTCGCCGAAAATTGTCTGCGCAGCAGGTAAACTTTTTAAAAAACAGGCCAAAAAACAGCATTTTTGAACGCTTCGAACTTTTTTTGGAAAAGTTTTTTTTGGCGCTCCCCCTCAAAATTAGTTATATATATGGCGCCTTTAGAAAAATTTTTGTCAGCCAAAAATGATTGTAAAATTAGGCCAAAAGGTGGACCCTTTAGGAAAAAATTGCAAACAGAATTGAGAGGTGGGCGATCCCCCCAATCGACACGCTACTGGCCGTGGTTAATGCACATTGAAAAGCTCGTTTAATTTGTCTCATGTTATCCTAGTCTCATTCGAAATTCAGTTTTAACTGATAACACTTATAACGTTAAAAACAAATTGATTATACATCAGCTAAGACGCAAAATTAAGATGTTCCAGAAAAGAAGCTTCCAAAAAATGAAACTGGCTAACATAAGTTTGCAAGTATCTTCAATCTCTTTCTCAAGAAGGATAGCGCGACCGAAAAACCAGTGTTTTTAGTCAGTATGTTCAGGACCTGCCAGGTCACTCCTCTTATTAATACTAATGTTCGGAACCGAACCAAACCCAGCCCCAGTAATTACAAATGCGAATCATGTTCCGGACTGACCAGCCGCTCGCACTACAGCGTATGTCTCACTGCTGCGGCTGGATGCATTTGGAATGCAGCCATTACGAGGCCAAACTGTGCGGCGGCCATAACAAAACTAATCAACGCCACAAAAACTACTAATGCTCAAACTGCTACTACTACAAACTTTTCAAAAAGCAGACCAAAAAACATCATTTTTGAGTAATTTTTGGAAAATGTTGACAAAAAAATGCGTTTTTTCGGTGCGAGCTCCCCCCTCAAAATAAGTTATTCTGGCACCAAAGGCGCCTTTAGAAACATTTCGAGGTTGTCAGCCGAAAATGGATGTAAAGTTATACCAAAAGGGGAACCCTTTTGCAATATTTGGCAAACAGAATTGAGAGGAGGGCGGTCTTTTCCCGTTCACCGAAACGGGCGCTGCAACCAGAACACCAGACGTCTCAGTTACTAGAAGTGGGGTCCATTCTACCCAGTGGCACCCAGGCGTGGGCCGCAGGTGCGACTTGGACGAGACGACGAAACTAACAACCTTCCACTTTGAATCACCAAAACCAAGAAATCAACCTTCTGTGGAATACTGTACGAACATGCTAACCATTCTAGACGAAAATCTGAACCATTCAAAACGAAAGCTGACCAAAAAGACGAAACTTCATCCGCTCTCGCTCGACGAGGCAACTACAGCAACAACACTCAAAGTTGAGCTAACAAGCTCATGTAGCTGTGGCTTTGAGAAAAAAAAGCTAGCCAATTTCGTCACGCACCAACTACAAAAAAAAAACAGATACACCAGTTCTGCATCTCCTTATAATAAAGTACTCAATATTTTTGAAGTTTTTCAAGTTCATTTTTACTTTTTTTGATAATATCAGTAATATAGTCAAAATCTACTTCCTAGTTCTACGTTTTAAAAAGCACACGTTTTGGACCGTTTTTGATTAGTTGGGAAAAAAGTAGCTTCTTTTTTGTTGATTTGTTGTATTGTAAATACGTTTTTCAGGGGATTCATTTGAAATTGTTATACTAGGCGACTCAAAGTGTGGAGTTGTCGAAAAAGCTCGTTCATTAATTCGGCTTTTCATTTAGTTGAAATCTAAAGTAATTCGCATCTTATGTTTGTCTCATGTGTGTTTAACTCGGATATTGCCAGCTATTAATTTAAAAGTCGCCAAAAAGGTTTCGAATTTTTTAATTCTCCCATGACGATGACACCGGCCACTTTTCAGTGTGTATAACTTACTCTCATTTTGACGAGAAACTCCTCGTAGTCTATGGTTCCCGACTTGTCCTTGTCGAATTCCTGGAACAGCTGGTCGGTGTGTTCTTTGGTGAACTGAGTCAGTCCGAAATCTCTCACACACTTCTCGAACTCCTTCTGGTCCAGAGTTCCACTCTTATTGTCGTCTATGATTCGGAAGGTCCTGTACAAACACAGCTGTATTGAAAAATTCATTGCAATTTTCAGCTATACCGACGCTAAAAACATGATGTCCAGTGTTAAGTTCTGGCTCCAAACTTGACTAAGTCCGAAACACAAACTGTCAGCATCCACTCAAAAAACAGATAAAATAGGAAAAAGAAAACAATTTCACGATTTAGAAATAATGTTGGCTCAAAAAGCCAAGTAGCACAGAAAGTTCCGACCACGTGGCTAAAAAGGGCACGACGTGCGGCCTATAATACAAAGGTCGTGCGTTCGAATTTCGCTTAGGTCCATCTCCCAAAATGGGGCAGGCTATGGCGGAATGGATGACTCCCATAGAATAAAAGCCGAAGGTAGAAGCTGGGTAGGGGGCTATTGAAAAAAAAACAGAAGACTCGGTAAGTTTTTTGTTCATTTTGTGTCATTTTGTGCGTGGAGTGATAAGAGGAACTGAAAGAAAGTCGAGAGTTAAGGCATGTCAAAAGCATGTTTGATATGTATACTAAATTAGGCATACTTGAGGTCACTTTTTTTTAAAAAATGAATTCAAAAACTATAAATTCTTCTTTTACTGGGTAAATTCTTCGTTACTGGGTACAAAATTCACATATGCTTCACCGTTGAATTTTATACTTTTTTGGGGTCAAATTGTTTTTCTAAGTACCATTGAGGGGGCTGGGGGTAGTTCAAGAAATTCAACAAATCGAATGAAAATTGCTTAGTGAACAATTAAATATTTTTGCTCCGACAACTGAAAGACCTTTGTCTTCGGGAGTACTTAAAATTTTTTGTCTTTCTTAAAACTTTCTCTTCATTGTTTTTCACGGTAATTTATGTGCCACTAGTAATAATTGGAATGAGTCATTTCATCATATGTAAGCCCCTCAGGTTGTGATTTGAACGACATTAGAAAAGTTCCAAAAAGGGTTCCAGTGTCGAGAAAAACCGGTTTGATGATTGTCTAGTTTTGAGCAAGTAAAGCGAGCGAGCAGGCTTATAATAGGAAGATTATTTTTTATCCAAGCCGCGAAAGCTTATTTTTACTCCAGTTAAACTAACTTTTAATGCTTCCAAACAAAACATTCCAAACAATTTTCTGCAAAAGTTTTGAAAAAGTGTACAAGAATTTAAGTTTTTGTATTCATTAAAAAAGTGCTCTCAAGTGTGCCTAATTTAATATAATTATCAAACATGCTTTTGACGTGCCTTAAACATAGGCTTTCATTCAGATCCTCTCATCACACAACGAACAAAATGACACAAAATGAAGAAAAAACTTAACGAGTCTTCTGTTTTTTTTCAATAGCCCCCAATCCCGCTGCTACTTTTGGCTTTTATTCTGTAGGAGTCATCCAATCCGCCGTAGCCTGCCCCACCTTGAGGAGATGGACCTAAGCGGAAAACGAACCCACGACCTTTGTATTATAGGCCGCACGTCGTGTCCTTTTCAGCCACGAACTTTCTGTACTATTTGCGCTTGAAAGTTACGACAGTTGAAAGCTCACCTTTTGTGCTACTTGCAGTACGTACCCTTTTACACTAGCCTTTGTTCATTTTTTCTTGATAATGAACTCATCTCAAAAACTGAAAGCGTTTCAGCGTGGATTTGTCCCTTTAGTGAAAACATTGCTAGCAGTTATTCGAATTGTAGAGCCGAAGAAATTTATTATTATTTTTTAATTTCTGAAACCTTCATAAAACATCCGCATCTCAAAAGCTAGAAGATTTTAGAAACTTTAGTTTCTAATTGTTCACCTCTAGCAATTGATCCGACTGTTGGATAAGAGAGAAGGGGTGATTAAAGAAAGCAAAACTAAATTTCTGCGCTCAAAGAATTAGACGCTGTAAGTAGACATTGCAACTTCAAACATTGCTTACGCAGAGCAGTGTACTAACATCACTACTAACCAATTAGCACCTCATTAGCACTTGATTTAACGTAAGAAAATTGTCCGAATTTTCGGGCTTTGTTAGTTTTTGTTAGAATTTTCGGGTTTTGTTTGTGTGAAACATTTTAAAGGAAACATAGAAAAAAGATATAGTGTAGGAAAGAATTGTTTCAATGAAAAAATTAGCAATGCTATAGGATTTCATTTCCATGAAAAATCTCCAAGGTTTTTCGTCGAAGCTGTATGGTAACATTTATCGATGAAAATTTTGTCCCCTACAAAAAAGTGTTTCTCTTTGAATTATTGGTTTGATATAAGATAATTTTATTTAAGCTCAATTACGTTCAGAACAAAAAATATCGAATTTGTTTCTGATTTCTTTAATTTAGCTGTGAAATTTTTATTCGCTACAACCGCTAGGTACCTGCCAAACATTATTTTTTATGAATTTGTAGATGAAAAGCATCTCTGAAAAAAGACGAAAACACTGAAAAATCATCCATCAGGTTGGTCTGAAAATTGAAGCAATTTTTCTTGACAAAGACAAACTGTTTGAGTTTTTCCTGGTATTTGAATCGTAGCTAAAGTACTTGAAAATGAGGTAAATGAGAAGCAGACGGGTCTTATGCAGACAAGGAACTTAATAGACAATTATGAGGGACAGTTAAGCAATCATAGCAGGAACAGGTCACCCAATTAGAAGAAATTTATAAGTCGATAATTAAATCATAATTTGTTAGAGCAGTTAGTCATATTTTTGTTCAATTTGTGGGCAAGCAGTTTGAGAAATAATTATCCGCCAAAATGCCTTCAATTTGTTTGTTAAGCTCGTTATTAAGTTCACTGTTTAGATCACACCCGTCTCTCTGTCGTTCACTGAAAACGATACCATACCATCGGGGACCGATCGTTTAGCAGACCAATCTCTTAGCGTAAAAACTAAAATATGTAGCTTTTGGCAGACTTCGATTGACAAGCAATTAGCTGGGACTGAGGCGCCAGTAACTCTGGGTTGAGCATCATTGTTTCACAGGGACCAATCGCTTAGCAAAAGGTCAGCCATAACCAAGGCTGAACCAAATTAGAGCGAAAAGACGGTTAAAATGGGTTTTGGGGGGGACCGAACCTGGTTACGGGGCATCCCATCAAGTTCGGTGCACATTCGAGTTCTAGAAAGGAAATGACCTAGTCGGGATTCGAACCGGCGCCGAACCCGCCGGGACGCACCATGTATACGCTTGGCTACTGTCCCTGTATGTATTTACTTTTATATGCATTTATACTCTCGCACATTTACATTTGCGCTGCAACATCCTCCGCCCCTAAAGACGGAAGAACAGGTGCGAGTTTTACGGTCGGTCGTGTCAGCTCGCTCGTAACAGTCTTGATATCGGCGGATTGGGCGCATCCGTCTTTGCCGTAGTGTAGTTTAGCAATACGGGCGAGTGGGTAATGCCCACGTGGGCTGTCGGGTTCGACTACCCAAACCAATTCGCCGGTTTTCAGTGTGACATCCGAATCATTATGCCACTTTGCTCTCTTGTTGAGAGATGGTACATATTCACGCAGCCAGCGTGACCAAACTGCGTTAGCGTACGATTGTGCTCTGGCGTAACGCTTTTTATAATCAAAGTTATCTTCGAAACTTAACGACGGGAAGCTAGCTGCGCTGTGACCGAGAATGAAGTGATTCGGGGTGAGTGCCTCTAGGTCGTGCGGATCGGAACTGACCGGAGTGATCGGTCTTGCGTTAAGTAATTGTTCAACTAGGCAGAGCGTTGTTCCTAGAACTTCCTCAGTTAATCTCCTGTTGCCTAATATGTCGTACAACACTCGCTTAACACTTCTCACTAGCCGCTCCCAGGCGCCACCGTGATGAGGGGCACTGGGCGGGTTAAACTTCCACTTAATGCCTTTGTGGACGAAAACGGCCGGGGCGACTTTGTTCCAATTTTGGACACAGGATAGGAGCTCCTTTTGAGCACCAACAAAATTCGTGCCATTGTCAGAAAGAATGGTTTTGGGGGTACCTCGCCTTGCAATAAATCGCTCTACGCCCATGACGCAGGAACTAGTATCGAGAGATGGAACCAACTCGATGTGAACTGCTCGAGTCGTGAGGCAGGTAAATAGGAAACCCCATCTCTTTTCGGTACTTCGGCGTATCGGCACTTGAAACGGGCCAAAGTAATCAACACCTGTGTTGGAGAAGGGAGGCTGCTTGTAACCCAGTCTTTCAATCGGTAGGTCAGACATAATGGGCACAACTGTTTTTGCTTTGCGCTTACGGCATGTTATGCAAGTATTTTCGATGTTCCCAAGTAACCAGCGCAACTTCAGAACAATGTATTTCAACTGAACTACAGCACGCATGTAATCCAACCCCTGATGTGCATGTTGAAAGTGCATATGCCTAATCAACATATGAGCAACTCGGTGTCGACCATCCAGTATTATTGGATGTTTGCTATCAAAGTCGGTATCAACAAGACGGCTGATACGTCCAGTTGAACGCAGGATGCCAGCTGGGCCGATGAACGGAGAATATTTAGCAATCCGACTTTTCTTTGTTATCAGTTTATCGGACTGAAGTATTTTCACTTCGGCAGGAAATGATTCGGACTGAGCGAGATGAATGCGCTTCTGCTCGGCAATATCTAACTCGGACGGGTCGGTTATTTCAAGCGTTTTTGTACGGAAGTGTTTATGCGATGGTAGCACACGAAGCATAAACGCTAAAACACGTTTGTACTTTACAATTGAGCTGAATTTATCCCAATTTTTAAACAGACGGATCGACGGCGCTTTCTCAGATGAAGCATCAACAACAAACGTAGATGCAGTCTCAAGGCATGTATCAATGTCACAGAGTGGGCCTTTTAATTGGATCTTTTTGATGACATCAGTGTTCGGCTTGAATGGCCAATCACATGTCCTCAATATACTAGGGCCTCTAACCCAGCTGCTATCCTTGAGGGCTTCCGAAGAAATCCCTCGTGTGCCGGTATCAGCTGGGTTATCACCACTGAGTACATGATTCCATTGATCAATGGTGGTGGACTCCAAGATTTCACCAGTGCGGTTTCCAACAAACACAGGAAGTTTGTTG